TGCGCACCACAGCAAGTCAGTCAGTCCTCTTGTGCGAACAGGCCGTGCTGCGTTTCCAGTCGATCTCCAACGCACACCATGTCTCGGAAGCGGGGCCGGAAGGGAGGGGGAGGGAGCCAGCGATGGGATGCTCTGCCTTGGAAGACTATTGAGCCCCCTCTCGAGGTAAGCGAGAGGCATCGAGAGACCTGTATGTTGGCATGTGATGGCACAGCCCCGCAGCGTACAAGTTGCTGTGTTGCTGTTTAACGCGATGATTTTCAAGGCCTACACAGGAACCTCTAAGACGGTCGTGGGTGGGGGCTGGTGGGTGTGCCTGCGCGCAAGAAGCAACAAGTAAGTAGCGTCTGCCGCCTGCAGATACATGCAGTTGGTTACATACGGCGGCGTCGCTTCGTGGTGTGGCCCAAGTGAGCCATTCGATTCCTCGTGCAGCCCGTCTCCTCTCTGGTGCGCCCACACCGGTGGTTGCCTGGGACTTTGTCGTCGTGGACGAAACGGGAGGACCGACCAACGCCAACGTGCCTTCCGCGCGATTGGTGGCTGGTCGTGTCGTACTCTTTTTTTAACATCGATGAGCGTTTTTTTGTTGTCTGGCGGCGGGACTGTCAAGGTTTCTGCGGCTGTACGCCCTCGATCCCTCCATGCCTCGACGCCTCGATGGTCTGTGCATGTATTCAAGTTTCTACTGCTGATGTCTAGGCCGGTTGGCTTCGGTAGGACAAGACGAATGGCGATGATAATGGTGACGTAGTGACTGCTTGTCCGATGATTAGGGTTGTGGCGTGCCCGTACATCCTCGTCGAGCATCACTTGGGAGATGGAAAGGAGCAATACACGACCACAGCAACTTCGTGTATTGCTACGCTGACTGCTGAGCTGCTGAGTGATGACACCACGTTCCGTGGGCACGCACCTACGCAGCAGTATCTACAACGAGTTTCTCCACACAGCGCCTCCCCAAGTTTTGCAGCTGGGATGGACTTTTGAGCCAGAAGGGAGCTAGAAAGGCAAACCACAGCAGAAGCAGCACAAGCATCGGTCCAAATTACGAAACACCACCTACCGCCGTCGTATGCATATCTCCCTCTTTGTACACCGGTCGCCCCGGTGGTCTAGTGGTATCCTCGTAATCCGTTTAGTCGCAGAGGTCGTGCATGCCGTAGTCGTTAGACCATTGACCTCGCATCCCTACAAAGCCGGGACGGAGCACGCCGGGTTCCCACCGGACCAGGCTCAATTTCGAATCCCCATGGGGTGAAAAATTTACGAAATGTGCGGGTGAAAGCG